GAATAAGCAAATGAACTCCAGATATTGAGACTAAGTATCAAAAGAAGACGGATCACTGATGGGGCTGTAGAGATGGCCCAGAGGTTAAGTGTACTGGCTGCTCTTCCAGAGGACCCAGGTTCAATTCTCAGCACCCATAAACAGTCTATAATTCCAATTCCAGGAGGTCTGATACCCTCATCAAGCTTCTGACACCAGCTGTGTGCATAGAAATATAAGCAGGCAAAACCCCATACACATGAAATTAACTTTTTTAAGGGGGGGGGCAGGGCCATGAAAGAAGGGAAACACATTAGTTTGTGAATAGGAAGCAGGTAAGAGACTAAAGGGGAACTTGGGAGGAGGGCGAGCCCTAGCAGCCCTCTAGCTCCTGGGAGCAAGGCTAGCCTGTACTGCTGAGTGACTAGACTCCATACTCTAAGGGTGCTCACTAAGCCCACGGCTGCAGAGCCTTTGGCCACACCCACTTTCACTGATCCCTTATACCAGCCCCGTACAAGACGGATACAAACCATACAAGACCAGAGCTTTAGTTATCCGGAGGCTCACCTTCTTTTCAAAGTCATCCACCAAACCAGCCTTGGCCACATTGGCCTTGTAATACGCCCAGTCAATCGCTGGTGGTTTCTCAGGCAGATTGGCCAACCTGCTCATATGGGAAAGTAAAAGTCAGGACCGTTCCCCAAGCAACAGACGCTGCTCACACAGCAATCTCCCTAATCCTTGTCACACTGGGGCGTCAGCACTAGTCTCTGAAGGACCGCCTCAAAACCGCCAAAACTTGCTTTCATTCACAAATCACATCACTTTCTTTGCGCTGGTAGAGTAGAGTATCAGGAATGCCGGTGTGGTGCTGGCAAGATGGCTAACTGGGTAAAGGCACTTGCTGCTAAACCCGAGGGTGTGTGTTCAATACCCGGGACACACATGGAGGGGAAGGCAGAGAGCCAACACCCACGAGCTGCCCTGCCCTGCCCTGCCGTCCGTATGTCCTCCACGACACACCAAGTAGGTGTGCACTTGTAAACATACGAAATGAATGCAATAAATGTCAAAACCTGCTGATGGGCGCAGTGACAAGCACGGGGCTCTTTCTCACAACACACTCACCTGGTGTGGAGGGTCTCATTCCAGGACTTCAGGGAGTTTGCAATTGTTTTCTGGTTTCGGGGAATGATCTCCACAAAAGACACCCAATCAATGGTTTTTAGAGCAAGTTTACGGCCAGCCATCTTGCGATCCTAAAAACAGAGCAGGTCAGATTAAACAGTGTCTTTCCACGAGACAGACCACCATCGTTTAAGCACTTGGTGGGTCTACACAAGAGCTAAAGGAATGAGGACTTGTGGCTCAGTTGCTGAAATTGCTTGGTGAGCATGGACAAAGCCCCGGTTCCATCTCCAGCACCACATATAAGCTGAGGCAGAGGCAAGAGGATCCAAGGTTCAGGGTCATCCTTGGGTACACAGTGAGTTCAAGGCCACCCTGGGAGCCATGATAGCCTGCCTCAATAAATCCGGAAATGGGCAGTTAAGCTTTCAGTTCAAGATGTGTAACACAGAATACAAATATAATTTGTCCTACTAGGTAACCCTTCTATAATCCCAACCCTTTATCGTTAGAAACCCATTTCTATTTTTTGGTCTACATGTTTCTTTGCAAACACTGCTACAGGACATTGATACGCAAAAGTCAAATAAATAACAATTGTGCTTCATTCACTGATGCTCCACCAGACAAAATCTCCTCATCTGCAAACTGGGGGAGAGCTGTTAAAAACACCAAGGGAAACGGTAGGCATCAATTTCCCACAGTTTTATAGACTTCAGTGACCCTTAACGCCTGCCTGCCATACACTTGAACCTTCATATGCCATACTGTCCACAGCAAACATGCCTTGCATTTTCAGAGGCATTCTACCCAAATGATAGTGAGAGAAGAAAGTGACTGTGACTGTCCTGAAACCAAAACAGGACAAAGTACAGGCAATCGCTACCGTCAGAGGGCTTTCAAGTAGAAGCCATGTGTACGAGCTAAGTGGATTCCAGGCACCGTGGAGGATACCTTCCTAACGACCAGTTGTCAAATGCCAGTCCCCTTCCTTCCCTCCTAGAACAGCTAACGTCTCTAGGAGGGGGAGAGGCTAAGGCAGTTGTCAGATGAACTAAGGATCCCAGAGATGGAATGTACTTTCCTGGGCACGAGGGCAACTCAGGAGTCACAGACGTGCTGTCGTCTGGTTAATCTCTAGCGCCTGCAACAACAGGTCGTGAGAATAGGGAACGAATGACCTGTGGTTATTCGACCAGCGGGAAAACTAGCATTACCCACACTGGAGTCCTAGATCCCTCCCAGGGAGGGGAGGGCGTAGCGCTGCGGCCCCTCGGAAAGCTACCCCTACACCACGGCTATGTGATGTTTCCCCAAGCCATAAACGGCACTCCCGAGTCCGTCACACAGTGTGGCAACATCTAAATCAGAGGTGATTGGTGCAGGTCACAGCCAGGCCCCAGCCTCGCCGGCCGCGAAGGTGAGCGGGGCACGGCAGTGACCTCGGGCGCGCGGCCAGCGGGGCAGCTCGAAGGCCCGGCGTCCTCCGCGGGGGCGGGACAAGCGTCAAAGCGAGGTCCGGAGCGCGGACCTAACGCGGGAGAGGCCGCGGAGATCGGGCCCAACAACACCTCGAACCCAACTCACCTTCACCGACCCCGGCGCGGCGGAGCGCCGTCAGCAGCAGCGAGGGACGGAAGTGGATAGCCGGAAGTTCTGCCTTCGGCTAATCCGAAGGCGCAATGGACGGGCCTTGCTTGACATGCCAGCCAATGAGCGTGGAGCCGCGCTCGGGAAGCCCCGCCCCCGGCGGCGGGCGGGCGGGCGCGGCGCGTGCGCGGTCTGGGCCCGCGTTGGCTGGGGGCGCTCCCGGGCCCGCCCCCCGCCCCACCCCCGCCGATGGGCCGGCCCGGCTCTCCCCGCCGGGGAATGGGCCGGCCCGGTGGCGGGCGGCGGCCCAAGATGGCGGAGCTGCAGCTGGACCCGGCGATGGCGGGGCTGGGAGGGGGCGGCGGCAGCGCGGTGGGCGACGGGGGCAGCTCGGGCCGCGGACCCCCCAGCCCTCGCCCGGCCGGCCCCACGGCCCGCGGGCACGGCCGCCAGCCCGCCGCCGGCGCGCAGCCGTTGGAGCCGGGGCCCGGACCTCCGGAGCGGGCGGGGGGCGGCGGGGCGGCCCGCTGGGTCCGGCTCAACGTGGGCGGCACCTACTTCGTGACCACCAGGCAGACCCTAGGCCGCGAGCCCAAGTCCTTCCTCTGCCGCCTGTGCTGCCAGGAGGACCCGGAGCTGGACTCGGACAAGGTGCGCCCCCCCCCCCCCGCCCCGCCCCCGGCTGGGGGAGCCTTGGAGCCTGCCCTTCCGATCCCGCCCGCAGGCCCTGCACACCGGACTGCAGTCCCCCTCGCCCCCTGGGCTGGCACCTGCCGCCATGGAAGGGTCTCCCCTCCGCGTCCTGCCCCATCCTGAGGCAGACTCCGGCTTCCCTCCGCGCCCCGCCCTTTTCCCCGGCTGCTCCTTCCAGGCGCTGTCCACCTGCACCCACGGGAGCCCCCTGCGCACTCCTCTCACAGTCTCTGCCCCTCCCGAGGAGCCCACCTTCTCAGATCTGCATAACTTCCCCCTGGTCCCCCGTACAGCCCCCGCTGCCAGTGCCAGATGCACGCAGAAGTGGGTCAGGGTGAACGACCACGTCTTGGTCGCTTTTCCAGGACTCCCTCCCTGTTCGATCCCTGTGCAAAGCGATAGTAAACTTGGGGTTTAAACGATAGATCGCGTCCACCGCCGAAGGCTGCAGGAGGTGCTCTTCTTGGCGGTGTTACCCAGCTTTTCTAAAATCCTGGTCCCAGAACTTGTATGCGGTTAACAATCGCCGTTTCGGTACATTTTTGGAAGTAAATGCATTCCTTGGAAGGATGATTTCCATTTTGTCCATGCAAATCTAGGCTGACCGGTTAGGACCCGGCAGATGTGTAGACTGAGGAATACCTGTTAGACAAGGTGGGAGGGAAGACTGCTAACCAAAGGGTTGAGCACTTCCAGTTTAACTTTCGCAGGTTCACCTTTGAATTTCAGATGCCCTCAGTAAAGCACTGTAACCACTTTGTGGTTAACAGAGTTATACCGGCTTAAACACGTAACCAAGTTCATCTGTTTTCCTCTGATACCAAATTGATGGGAACCTAAGCCGCCCTGACCGAAGAGATTCTAGAACTCCTGTTTATGGAGAGTTATTCTTATATACCTTATGGCCACATAAGCCAGTTTGTTTCTTTTGCTTTAAAGATGAGTAGGATTAAAGCAGCCCAGAGCCGAGTCCTGGCAGCACCAGGCTTCCTCTGGGCACAGAGCTAGGGTGTGTGAGATTACAGCTGGCGATGCCGACTCCCACTGATGTTGGCCCTGGGCTCAGGAGAGTTGCCAATAGAACGGAGGTTTTCTTAGAGTTAGGAATGTATTCCGGGGGCGATGAAGGACCAAAATGTTCAACACACAGCTGTGGTATTCCCTTCATCCCTGTAACTGATACCCTACAGAAGAACCCAGGAAATAAAGGCCTAGCAATGGGGATGACTGTGCGTCTAGGACATCTAACCTGAAATCATGTTAAAGCCAGCGGTCTAAAATGAGCAAAGTGTGTAGCATAACAGGCCTCAATGAAAGAATAACAAAGCTGGGACCGAAGGGTGTCCCACCACAGCCGATGCCCGTTTCGCTGATGGGATGAATCTGCTGCTCGGGTACACTGACAGATCAGGGGAGAATGTTACTTAGAAAACATTCCTGAGAGGCTCACGGTGTTTGGTTGTGCTCCGTTGACAGGACGAGACAGGAGCGTATCTGATTGACAGAGACCCCACCTACTTTGGCCCCATCCTGAACTACCTCCGGCATGGGAAACTCATCATCACCAAGGAGTTGGCAGAAGAAGGTAAGGACACCTCACTGGGTGGTTTCCAGCCTCACAGGCTTGATTGTGTTTGGGGTCCTCACTGGAGGTGTGCAGGTGTAACTAACTGGTGATGGGAGAGGTGGGCAGGAAGCTTCCGGTTCCCAGGGCTTGCCCGGAGACCCTTGAAGGAGGCTGCTCTGGGCTCTGTTCAGCTGCTGTAGTGGGAAGCTGGGTTGCTCTGCTTTGCAGATTGCGTTAGGCTTTGGAGCCCGTAGAACTGATCTTATCCGATAGCAGTGAATGCCCGTAACCAGAAGCGCCACATGTCTGGCATTTGGTTATTTTTATTTTCCCATTTTCCTTTGGACTTGCAAAAATAATATTAATAAAGACCTGACCTCATTTCTTTAAGACTCTGGTCTCATGCTTCCCTGTGAAGTCGTGCAGCTGACCCAATTCACTCCGAAGCTCTTTGTCAGCCGACTCTCCTGCTGCCTTGGCTGCCTTGTCACTCCGATTTGTAGGGCATTTGCCTTGGAAGTGGGTCTAGTCCTCCATGTGAAAGGCCTCCCTGATCGCTCTGGAGATGCCCAGTGCAAATTTGGGGTCCTTTCCTAAATCCAGGATGCCTGATCTACAACCTCTGGCTAGGAAAGCTTGTGATAGCCAGCAGCTTCATGGCGGTCAGGAGAGAGGAATTGTGAATTCTTGCTCATCTTTTTTTCTCCCTGAAGGGAGTCTATAAATGACAAAAACAACCACAACAAAAAAAATTTCAAGCCGGTGGTGGTGGTGGCGGCGCACAACTTTAATCCCAGCACTCAGGAGGCAGAGGCAGGAGGATCTTTGTGAGTTCAAGGCCAGACTGGTCTACAGAGTGAGTTCCAGGACAGGCTCCAAAGCTATGCAGAGAAACCCTGTCTCTTGATAGCTAGGAAATCAGCATAAAACCGACCCAGACCCCCTGAACATGGGTCTCAGGAGGCCTGGGAAGTCTATGGTACCTCTAAAAATGGAACCAGGATGTTATCCCTAGTGCAGGAACGGACTTTGGGAGCACATTCCCTATGGAGGGATACTCCTTAGCCTAGAGACACAGGGGAGGGCCTAGTCCCTACCCCAAATGACTTGTTGGACTTTAATGATCCCTCATGGAAGGCCTCACCCTCCCTGGGGAGTGGATGGGAGGGAGATGAGATGGAGGGGTTAGTGGGGGGGGTGGGAGGGAGAGGGAACTGGGATTGATATGTAAAATAAGAAAATATTAAATAAAAGAAAGAAACTCTCTCGAAAACCAAAAAAGGGGGATCATTTCAGAGTCATACTAATAGGAAACAGAACAAATTCCATGTGCTCACTGCCCTAACGGCTAGTGCCTACAGTCTTTTCATGTCCTTAATGGAAATCTTTATATTGTGGCCAAGCCTGGAAGGACTGATGACACAAACTGTCCCCTGCCCTCCATCTGCCCCTCCCACTCATGCTCACAAACTGAGGGAGAGTTTGGGTATGTAGCCCTGGCTGACCTGGAACTCCATCCATCTGCCTCTGCTAGAATTAAAGAGGCCACCACCACACCTGACAGAAGTAAATAAATGTTAAAAAGCTTTGGAGCCTGTCCTGGAACTCACTCTGTAGACCTGGCTGGCCTGGAACTCAGACCCGCCTGCCTCTGCCTCCCGAGTGCTGGGACTAAAGGCGTGCCACCTTATCACCGCACCTTATCACTGTACTTTGTCTCCTCCTCCCTCATTCCCGGGAGAGTTTCTCTGAACTGTTTGAGAATAGATGCAGATTTCACACCTTACTAATTCTCTGTGTTACTCTAAAAAATGGAAACCGGGCATAACCCTGTTTCACAGCTCAGGAAATTTAAAATCTATCATTTGTCTGCATCTTTGCAGTTTGTCAATTGTTGTGATAATGTTCATTAGAACATTTTTTCCTAGTGCAGGGTCATACATCCCAAAGTTCTTGTAAGATCTTTGGTTTTGTTTACCATGATTCATCTCCCACACACACACACCTTTTTTTTTTCCAGCTGGGGATCAAACCTTGCTAAGCAAGCATTTTGCCACTGTGCAGCCCTGATAGCCTTTTAATGTTGTTCAGATAATAATTACTCTATTAAATTCTGAAGTGTATGCACGTGAACCCATCCATCAGCCCTTTCTAGGGAAAACAGGTAAATGCTGCAAGGTCAGTTGTTGTCCAGTGTGGCAGGTTCCAGGAACTAGGTGGCATATGGATAGCGAATGAGTGGCTGCCAGGAGGAAGCAGGAGGGATAAGATGGAAGGCAAAGAAACCTTGTGTTGGGAGGCTGCAGAGATGGCTCAGCGGTTAACAGCACTGACTGCCCTTCCAGAGGGCCTGGGTTCAACTCTCACATGGCATCTCAGAACTGTCTGTAATTCTAGTTGCAGGGCATCTGACACCTTCACATACACACAAGCAAAACACCAAATGCACATAGAAGAAACTCCTGTGGTTTGGGTTTTTGTTTGGTTTGGTTTTGGTTTTTTTTTTTTTTTGGTTGGTTGGTTTTTTGCTGTTGTTTTATTTTTTTGTTTTTCAAACATGGTTTCTGTGTGTATCCCTGGCTGGCTTAGAACTCACAGAGATCCACCTGATGGAGTTAAAGGCATGGGCCACCACCGCTATCAAGATGCAGTTCTCAGCAAGCCTTGTCTTGCTGTTTTCGGGTGAGCTCACACTTCTCTGACTTAGGTCTGGTCCTTGTTCTAGGTGTACTGGAGGAAGCAGAGTTCTACAATATTGCATCCCTCGTGCGGCTGGTTAAGGAAAGGATACGAGACAATGAGAACAGAACTTCACAAGTAAGGTGTCTGAAACTGCTAAAGGCCAAACCTCTCCCGTGGTGTCTCTGTGTGTGATGTGAAAAGGGTACCTTTCTCCTCAGAGCCGGAGGGTCAGAATGGCTCCGAGTGCGGAAGTTAAGGCGGAATAGCAGAGAAAACAGAACAGCCCCATCCCTTAGAATACACAGAGCGTTGCTGTTCACCATATGGTTGTGGGATCCCAGCCCGCTCTAGGTCCACCGCCTGCTCTCCAGGTTGTAGCCCAGCCACGTCTTGTGCTCTCCTGCTTCAGCTTCCCTAGTGCTGGGATTCCCAAGCCCAGCAGAGCTCTGCTTTTGCTGATGAAGCATCTGCCTCCCTCCGTGTGAAAGCCAACTGTCTCACTTGCTCCTGTCTTGTACTGGGGCTGTCTTTAAGCTGTGATCACCTCACGCCAGTATCTGCAAGCCACTTTTTAAAAAGAGGTGTGAAATGTGCTACTGAGAAGATGAAGCCCAGCCTCCTTTTGTATCACAATATCTGGATTTTCATACTAAGTCAGTAGACGTGATGAGAAATGTCTCCTGTTGGGGGAGAGCAGATGACTGGGCAGACTTAGCCTGCTTCCCGTGCCGTCCATCACGTGGGTGAGCAGCTATTGTCCTTTTCTTGTGTCTAAGAACTGGCAGCTCCAGATTTGCAGGCCCAGGCAGGAGGTTGTGCCCCTCCCTCCTTCCGGGGCCACCTGTCTGAGTGGCACAGTTGCTTCTTACACCACCTGATCCCTGTGGTGGCTCTTTTTCCCTTAATCTGTCATGGTGTTGGCTGTCACTACTAAAGGAAAGGGAGTCAGCGCTGCTGAGCCCTTGCCTTCAGGCGTTTGCAGAGATAGATTTATTCTGGCCCGTGCTTAGGAGTCTTGTTGGTGTTCACAGGGAGATTTATACCTGGGAGGTAGGAAACAGGGCCCTGCGTTCCCTAGTCTCGGCCGCTTACATTTCCCTGGCATCTTTTGCTTTGTAGATATTTAATAAGTAGCTTAGATGTTTCAGAAGTCTCGCTCTGTCCCCAGTTTCCCACATTCTAAAATAAACTTGATTGCTTAGTAGAAATTTTGATGGTACCCTGAATTGCATAATCTGAAACCATCCATAATCACAGAACCTGAACGTTCTGCATTCTTTGCCATTAGTAGATTCCTTGAGAGCATCCTAAGATTTCTATTTGATGGCAGCAATTAACTTAATTAGTCCCCTGGATTCTGAAGGCTTGAGGACTCACACCCAGTCGGGAGCTTTTTTGTTCCAGGAATGTCAAGACCTTTTTGATGTTCACTGACCTTTCATCTGTCCTTTTTATGTAGTGAACTCTGAGAGATGGGTTGATATTCAAAGGCTCTGTCTTCCTGTGTCCCTCATGCTTCTGAGACTGCAGGTTCCCAGATAACCCTCAACACGGGCACTGTCGGCTGTGCGTGGCAGGCATTTGGCAGCCTGAGCCCCTTTTGCAGTGGCCTCTTGTCCTTCTTTCCTCCTCCCTGTTTGTCTGCTTGTTTGTTGTTGTTGTTGGTTGGTTTTTGGCTTTTCTGAGACAGATTTTCTCTGTGTAGCTTTGGAGCCTGTCCTAGAACTCACTCTGAGAGCAGGCTGGAACTCACAAAGATTTGCCTGCCTCTGATGTGTGGGTAAATGTATGGAGAGAACCACAGAGAATTGTCAGGGGATTTGTCTGTATTTTCAAAGAAGGGCATGTTCCCTTCTTTGCCTAGGTTTTTTTGTTTGTTTGATTTTGTTTATAATATTTATTTATTATGTATACAGTGTTCTGTCTACATGTTTCCCTGCAGGCCAGAAAAGAGGGCACTAGATCTCATTACAGATGGTTGTGAGCCACCATGTGGTTGCTGGGAATTGAACTCAGGACCTTTGGAAGAGCAGGCAGTGCTCTTAACCACTGAGCCATCTCTCCAGCCCCCCCCCCTTTTTTTTTTTTTCTTGAGACAGGGTTTCTCTTCTTAGCCCCAGATGTCCTGGAATTCGCTCTGTAGACCAGGCTGGCCTCAAAGGCAGAAATCCCTGCCTCTGCCTCCTGAGGGCTGGGATTAAAGGCGTGTGCCAGCACCACCAGGCTTATTATTTTGTCTTTAAGGTGCCTGGCATGGAGCCCAGGACCTCACAGATACTAGGCAATGACTCTGCTGCTGAGCCACACCCCCAGCCCCAAGAGACACTTTTTTATTTCTCGGTTTTGCCATACAGCCTCTTTGTGCAGTCCAGCTGTCCTCCTTAGCCTTCTGAGTGCAAGGGTTACAAATGTGCTCCATGCCCCCCACAGCTACTCAGGAAATCCTAAGGGGTTGGGAAGCTCTGCCAAGAATGCAGACAAAAAAGTAAATGTTTCTTTTCTGTTATCCCACACCGCTGAAACAGGAATGTACTGTTAAACATTGCGGCTTCCTGGTAGCATCAGCAAAAGGGGAAACTAATGAATATTTGTACAATATGTGTTTTCTTCTTGATAAGATAATAGGTTAACATCAGTGCCCATTGCCAGGTGGTGTGCCATAATCCCAGCACACGGGATACTGAGGCAGGGGCAAAACCAGGAGTTTGAGATAAATAGCGCGTTCCAGGACATCTTGGACAGACATGCATGATGTGGTGGTGCGTGCTATTATCCTAGCACTTGGGAGGCAGAGAAAAATGGACCTGGGTTCAAGGCCAGTCTGCTATACACAATGACTTCCAGGACTGCAAAGATGACATTTGAGACCCTTTCCCCAAAAGAAAAAGGGTTAGGCTGAGCAGATGGCTCAGCGGGTAAGAGTGCATGCTGAGTGCCAAGGGCTGGGGTTCAGTTCCCAGCACCTATGCTAGATGGCTCCAGCGCCAAGGGATCCCAGAAACATATGATACATAAACAAATGTCTTTAATTTCAAAAAGGCCATTCACACAATCATTTCTATGCAGTCTGGAGCACCAAAATATGGTGTGCATTTTAGTATCCAAATCGCATCCAAACCACTTAAAAACAACGCGACTTTCCTCCCCAGAGTGGCTGAGGAGGGTTGCTCTAAGTGTCTCAGCAAAGCTGCTCACACAAACTGTGCCTCTGGAGCTGAGAGCTAGTGTGTGCATCGATCCCTTGGGTCTTGCTTTCTGTTCTTATAGCGGATGAGTTTTCATTGATCCCACAGTGCTGTTTGGAGAGAGGTAGTGGGTGGTCCCAGGCAGCTGCGGGAGGCAGGGGTCCTGGTGGGGTCAGCGTGGTGTCCCTGTGCTGCTATGCTAGCCTGCCTGTCATTGCAGGGCCCCGTGAAGCACGTGTACAGGGTCCTGCAGTGTCAAGAGGAAGAACTCACTCAGATGGTCTCCACCATGTCTGACGGCTGGAAATTTGAACAGGTATATTTCTCAAAGAGCAGCGACCCAGCACCTCCTCCCAGGGAGCCACAACCAGCCAGCCAGGGGCCCTGGGAGTGGGTGAGGCAGGTGTGACCCATTTCATAATTCGGAAATCACGCCTTGGTGTGATTACTTGTGAAGGCTTGGGAGGAGGGCCACATTTCTTGGTTTCACATCCAGAGTTTGAACTTGACAGTAGTGCCGGGTGTCACAGAGCTTATAGACCCAAGCACCTCCCTTTGCCTTTTTTTTTTTAACCTGGAACATTCCTTTCAAAATGACATCATCAGGCTAGCTTTCTGGAGCTTACAGTTCTGGATATATGGGGCTTAGGTGTGCTAGGAGGGGACCAGACACATGTGTGCCATGGTCATTTGGAAGCATTCTCTGTGGGTTCAATTGAGATTATGAAAACAAAGCCCCTGAGGACCTTGATTTTACCATTTTCTTCCACTAGATGGCAGCCTCGTTTGTTTTGTTGCCTCAGCTCACCAGGAAGCTGAGCCTGCACACAGGGAATGAGATATTGTGTGAAGCTGTTTATGTGGAGTTGTAGAGGCCAGCTGAACTGTCACCAGAAGCTCACTTACAGAGCAGAAGCTACAGCTGTGTAAACACTGTTAGTTAAAGCTAGAGGCAGAGATGCCTCTGTGTGCACTGCATAACCAGTCCCGTCATATAGGTCCCTAGTTCCCAGTCAGTGATGGGTGGCCAAATGCCGCCCAGGGTTTATTGTCGCAGCTCTTTTCCCTGATACATAATCTTAAGCAGAGATTATTTTAAATGCATTTATGTGTATGTGAATGTTCTTTGTGAAGGTAACATAATTTTAAATGGTGCGTATAAGTATTAACCCAGGCCTGGCACTTGAACCCATGGCCTCACACAGTCTTGGTGAGTTCCCTAACCCTGATCTGCGCTTAGTCCTCATGTGGAACCTCACTGATGTCCTGAAGGAGGATGGGGTCTGCTCCTCCTGCCTCCCATGTGTGGATGAGGAAGCTGGGCGTGGGGTGCCCACCCCTGCAGCAGGAGTGCCCCAACTTCAGCCTTGTGTCCGTGAGGCCACGTGTGCTCTGTGCCAAGCTTCCAATGTAGAGCTAAAGCTGAATTTGTTTCTCCAAAAGGGCTAAAAGTACCATGGCATGCAGCTTTCGGTGGTTGCGGGGTTGTTCGCTTGATACTTCCAGGTCTCTCTGGGTTCTGGGAGAAAGAGCCAGCGTGAGCAGGCGGGGCTGAAGGGAATGCTTGTAGAAATACTGGACTACTTCATGCTGATAGGGCAGTGACCATGTTAATACTCCTGATGCCCTTGGGATGGGGTCAGGGGACAGGATGGAGCTCACTTTGCTTCTCCGTGATGATACAGGATTAGGATCCACTTATTCCTCTGGACCTTGGTTGCCCCTGAGAATTTTTATCCTTTGAAGCATAAAACTGCCCAGTTGGGGGGGCGACTCCTGTGGCATTGGGGTGCTTTTTTGTTTGTTTGTTTTTTATTTATTTAACATTTTTTAATTTAATCTTTTCTCATTTTACATACCAACCCCAGTTCCCACTCTACCCACCTTTTCCTCACCCCATCCATTCCTCAGAGAGGGTAAGGCATCCCATGGGGAGTCAACGAAGTCTGGCATATCTTTTTGAGGTGGGACTAAGGCCTTCCCTTATATCTAGGCTGAGCAAGGTATCCCTTGAGAGAGAATGGACTCCAAAAAGCCAGTTCATTCACTAGGGATAAGTCCTGGTCCCACTGCCAGTGGCCTCACAGCCTGCCGAAGCCACATTCAGACAGCCAAGTTTGGTCCCATGCAGGCTCCCCAAACTGTCAGTCCGGAGTCAGTGAGCTCCTCCTAGCTCAGGCCAGCTGCCTCTGTGGGTGTCCCCAAAGTGGTCTTGACCCCTTTGCTCGTATTATTGCTCCTCCCTCTCTTCGACTGGGCTCTGGGAACTCGGCCCAGTGGTTAGTTGTGAATCTCCCCATCTGCCGCCTTGTTTTTTTTTTTTTTTTTTTTTTTTTTTTGAGACAGGGTCTCACTAAACATCCCTGGCTTCCCTGAAACTATGTAGATCAGGCTAGCCTCAAACTCAGAGAGATCTGCTTAACCCTGCATCCCGAGTGTGCAGCACCGCGTCCAGCCTGGCCGGGCTTACGTGTTTGAAGCCTGCTTACACGGGCGCACAGTCACCGCCCTCCTGTTTCGCCAGCTCATCAACATTGGCTCCTCCTATAACTATGGAAACGAAGACCAGGCAGAGTTCCTCTGTGTTGTGTCCAGAGAACTAAATAATTCTACCAATGGCATCGTCATAGAGCCGAGCGAAAAGGCCAAGGTAAGGCACGGCTTCCCCAAGCGCCCTCTGCCTCCTTTGTGTCCAGGCTCTGTCCACCTTTGCCCAAACTGCCTTCCATTCCTTTTCCAACTATGAGTTTTCTCTCCTCCTCCCGGCTGCTGGGTTTAAATCAGGATTTGTAGGCAACAAGCATAGCCAAATTGGTTAGCCCTGGCTTCCGTGAAGAGACCTTGCCTCCAAAAAGAGGTGGAGAGTGATAACGGAAGGTGCACACCCACACACACGCACGCACGCACACACACACACACTGGTGAGGGGGCTGTGCCGCCTGTCAGGATGGTGAAGAGGCTGGGGTTTTCACTGATGGCACTCCTCAGTGTCGCCCGACTCCATCAGGCAGGGTCTGCCCTGCTCCTGACAGCCGGTTAGTCCCTTACCCTGCTGCCCCCCCCCACACACACACACACTACACGCTTCCCGAGAGCCTGACTGTAGTGACCGAGGACTTTGATCCACAGCACAGAACCTTCTGCTCCACAACAGCCTTGCATGCGTGTATTTGGCGAGAGCTCTTGGCACTCAGTGCCAGTGAGATGGGGGCTTCAAGCCTGCCTTGCTGCATGCGTCACCCTGAGCCTCCCCGAAGCTCCTCTGCTCTTGCGTCCCCTTCAGCAGACGCCCAGCTCACCGTCTGCTGGCGTCTTCCACTTTCAGATTCTTCAGGAGAGAGGCTCTCGGATGTAAACAGAGAATCTGAAGTTCCAGAACTCTGAAGGCAAGAGAGCGATTGATCGGCCGAGCAGCTGTGAAGGGAAACCCTGCACCTGTACAGTAACTGAGCTACTGCGAAGCAAAGCTGCGCCTGGTCCCAGAGAAGTGGTGTCCGCTCAAACCAGAGGAGCCCCGCCCACCTCGGACGAAGACAGTGCGCCTCTGGCCCCACGGCCCCTTTCCAGAAACCTGCTTTTGTTTTCTAGCCAGTGTTATGATAGACCTTCACAAGAGCATCTGGAGCCTTGTGGGGAGCTGGGGGAAAACCATCTAGACGCCAAGGAGGCTAGAGTAGAGGAAGCAGCCTGTGTGTGCCGTGATGGACATTGGCAGTCCCGTGACCATTCCTCCCTGACTGAGGCGTTCTTTGAGGTTGGGGGCGGGGGTAGAGGAGCCCAGCCTTAGTGCATTGAACCGAGGTTTAAGTACAGACTAGAGTTACCAGAGGACCCACAATCCTATGACCGGAGCCTCAGAGGTGGGAGGATGAGGTGTCCCGTGTGCTTGGAGCACTGCCCTGTTCCCGTGGGGTGGCTTCACCTGGTGTCTGTCCCACGGTGGGGCCCCAGCTGGCCCAGCCTCGGGCAGGAGATTAGAAGTTGTGGTACCCTAAGCAGGGCTGGACGGACACCGGTACTAAGCAGTTGCTGTAACTGCCTGTTTCTTACCTGATTGGCCCTGTCTTCCTCCCCCAGCCTCGTGAACTGGACCAAAGAGAAGGGTCTTTGTGAACCTCTGTAATGGCTTGGGGTGAGGAAGGCTGTTTCTGTGGAAGCTGCCAAATGTGTCATGTTTTCATAGCTAAAAGTGGTGGCGGTGTTTTTGTGATTGTCCGGAACATGCACTGACTGATAGGTTGTACTTGTGTCTCTCGATGCTTTCTAACTGGCAAAGCAGCCGCAGGGCTTGTGTGTGCGTGCGTGTGTGCGTGCGTGCGTACGTATGTATGGTGGCAGTCCGTATACTCCCTGCATCTCCACCCCTGCCCCCTACTTTGTCCTGGGCATTCAGTGTTAGCAGACAAGAATTCCGTGCTTATACAGTGGGAACGCTACATCCTATAGCACAGCTGCTTACCACGGGCTCAAGGGTAGTGACTTCTAGAAAGGCCACCTCCTGTGCCAGCTCCCATCCTGTGGCTGACTGCCCAGCTGGCCTCGCTGTTCCCCAGGAGCTTCTTCCCTCCTCTGTATCTACAGTGTAGCACAGAAGTAACTCTGTCCAAGGTCCCTGCATGTCAACTAGGCCAGCCGGCTGCGTCACTGACAGCCATACCATGTTAGATGGCCTGCCTTCAGGAAAAGTGGCCCACCTTCCAGAGGGTCCCAGTCACCCATCCTGCTATCTCTTTCAAAAAAAAAGAAAAGATGCGAGTATTCAAGGAATATTGTTGTGGGGGACAGGCTGCTCTGCCCAAATAGCTAGAACTTAGCAGAGGGACCTGCTCTGTTGGAGATGCAGTCTTCATTTGGAAGCTCTTGTTCACTCACCCTGCCAAGGCCCCTTGTCCCTCAGCTTTTCTCAGGCACACCAGGCGGTCTGTGGAGACCAGGACCCGGACAGGCCTGGTGCCTCGAGCCGCACATTCACCAAGAGTGGGGTTAGTCAAGTACCTGGTAAGTGTTATCCTCATTGAACATTCCAGAGAGCCCCAGCTGGTCCTGTGTAAAGAATACCACCGAGCCTCAAGCCTAAACCCAGAGACAGACATTAATGTGTCCCACCCTTCCCCACCCCCAGAGAGCAGTGTTGATGGCTCCCTGCTGTACCCGGGGTTATTTCAACAGCCCTGTGTTCCAGGCATCCAGGGGACTCCCTGCTTTCTTTGAGTAACTGTGGTTTTGCAAACCTTGCTGGAGTCTTGCTGACCACTGCAGATCTGTCAGCTGGGGGTGGCTGTGTCCCCCAGGACTGCCAAAAGGGAGGTGTCTTTCTGCATTTTCCTTTGTCCCAGGATGGGACCAGCCTCCCCTCAGGTGACTTCATCTCCACAGTCACACTTCCTGGCTGTCAGCAAGGTGTGGGGAGGGGATGATGAGATGCTAAGGGAGTAGGGCAAAGGGGCACCCACCCCTCCATCATGGCCTTTGTTCCATGCTTCTGGGACCATGCCAGTCACTGCTGCCCTTGGTGACTGCTCATGTGTCTGGACAAGTCTGAAATGTGACTTTTTTTGTCAATAAAGAAATAAGCACTGGATCTTGGACCATGTGTGCATTTGCTGGCTCCCGCCTCCTATGGCCACTTCCTGATGGGCTGGCTGGTTTCAGGGGACAGGCTTCCTGAACCTGCTCTCAAGTCATCCTGCCCTGCTGAAGCTGTCAGAGGCACACTAGGCCTTCTCCGAACTGAAAGGCTTGGGCGTGCTGAGAGCAGGAGAGGACAGAGCCGGAGGAGCTCCTGAAGAGGAGGGACCAGGTGCCCATCTTCTACCAGGCAGAGGCAGGGTGAGGAGCAGGTGGTGAGACTCCAGGAACCAAGCGGCAGGTGTTGCTTACAGGCACTGGGATAAGGGGAACCTTTAAAGGCCAGGGGGCTGCAGCTGGGAAGGGGGGACCCACAAGATGAGCGGAGGGCAGGCAGTGCTGCCGGGTCTCCAGGGGCAACTGGCTGGTGCAGTTACCGCCAGTGAGGGGAAGAGCCTGCGCACCACAGATGCCGGGGTGGGGTGTCAGCTGCCCTTTCTGGACGGGAGCAGAGGGAAGAGGCTGGGTTAGCAACGTGTCAGGAGGAGATGCTGGCACCGCTGTCCCAGGGCTCAGTGAGCCCGCCCTACTTCCAACCCAGCTGTTGACATCAGAGCACAAGATGTTGCTGTTTGTCAGTGATGGAAGCAAACAAGAGCTCACTCTGTAGACCAGGCTGGCCTTAAACTCCAGAGTTCCCCTTGCTTCTGTCTCCCGAGCGCTGGAATTAAAGGCGTGCGCCACCACTGCTTGGCCAGCCAGCATCTTTTAAGAATAAAAACATTCTTCCCCACAAACGCAATAGCAATAGCACAGCTATAAAAATTAAAATTCCAAAATAAATAAATCCCACAATACCTGGCCCTGGGGATGTAGCTCAGTTAGACTGCTTGCCCAGCGTGCAGGAAACCCTGGGCTATTTCCCAGCCATGCAAAATTGAGCTCAGCAGCACAAGCCTGCCATCCCAGCTCTTGGGAAATGAGGCAGAAGGACTGGTGATTCAAGGTCATTTTCATTTACACAGCGAGTCAGAGAGCAGCCTGGGATACACCAAACCTGTCTCAAAAAACAGATGTACCATGTCACCTAAATATCTAGTCCTTGTGCAGATTGCTGCAGTTGTCCAAACACTTGGGTGCTTTTTAACGTACTGTGTTTTTATATACAGGAGTGTTCTGACTAGCCAGGGGCAAGGATAGGCGGGTCTGGCAGGCACAGAGAGTAAATAGGAGAAAGGGGAGCGGCGAGTCCCCCACACGAGTATCTGGTGCCCACAGAGGTCAGGAAAGGACATCAGATCCCCTGGCACTAGAGCTTCAGACAGTTGTGAGCCAACATCTGGGTGCTAGGAGCCAGCTCTTCTGGAAGAGCAGCCAGTGCTCTCAACTGCTGCCTGAGCCATCTCTCCAGCCCCATAGATGTTTGTTTGTAAGCCAAAGTCCAGTCAATGTTCTCACATCAAGTTCCATGTTAAATCTTTTTTCTTGACACTTTATGTATTTATGGGTGTAGGTGCACATGCCATGACACACGTGGGCTGTTTCTTGACTACCATCCGTGGGACCCAGTGATGTGGCCTGCATACCACATCTTTATCCATCTCACAGGTCCTCGTGATATGCCTAGTCCCCTAACAGCTCTAGCCAGATATGGTGGCACATGCCTATAATCCCTACCCCGAGGAAAGACAGGCAGGAGGGTTAGGAGATCAAGCTCCCTACGTAGCAGGTTTGAGGCCAACCTGAGCTACAGGAGCCCATAATGCTAAAAATGCAAGCAAATCATTTGAAAATTTCTTAACATTGGGAACTATCGGATTGCACATAGTAAAGCTGAGTGTAGCCTGCTACTTTTTTTTTTTTTTTTAAGTGTTATTTATGGGGGAATCACTCAAGCCACAGCACTGTGAGGTTACAGGACCCTGTTGCTGCTCTTTTACAATTTTTGGCTCTTTGGGGGGGGGCACCACTCAGCTGCCAAGTGAATCACACACAGAGGCTTATTCTTAGTTATGAACGCCTAGCCTTAGCTTGGCTTGTTTCTTGCCAGCTTTTCTGAAATTATCCCATCTACCTTTTCCCTCTGGGCTTATAGCTTTCTTACTTCTGTATATCTTACTTTCATTCTTACTCCATGGCTGGCCGGGTGGCCCGGTGGCCGGGTGGCCGGGTGGCTGGGTGGCCGGGTGGCTGGCCCCTGATGTCCTCCTCCCCTTATTCTCCCACATCAGATGAGATCGGGCACATTCAGGGTGGTATGGCCACCGATTCCCCTCATTCTCTCTTTGCTCCTCTTTCTCCTATTTACTCTGCCTGCCAGCCCCGCCCACCTATCCTTGCTCCTGACTAGCTATTGACCACTCAGTGCTTTATTAGACCATCAGGTGTTTTAGACAGGCACAGAGTTAAGCAAATGCAGCATAAACAAAAGTCACACACCTGAAAATAATATTCTACCATCAGCTCAGGTCATCAGGCTTGGCTGCAAGGGTCTTTACCCTCTGAGCCACCTCACCAGCCAATGAGGAGAGAGGAGAGAGGGAGGGAGGAGAGGGAGAGGGAGAGGGAGAGGAGGAGAAAGGAGGGGAGGGGAGGAAGGAGAGGAGAGCTTTTGTTTGTTTGGTTTCTCGAGGCAAGGTTTCTCTGTATTACTTTGGAGCCTATCCTGGAACTCGCTCTGTAGACCAAGCTGGCCTCGAACTCCCAGAGATCCCCCTGCCTCTGCCTCCTGAGTGCTGGGATTAAAGGTTTGTGCCACCAATGCCTGGCTTACATTTACTTTTTAATTAACTTATTAATTTACTTTTACAAGTAGAGCTTTCTTAAGCCATTGTTTGGGGTGCTACCGTCAGTGACCTTCATAAATGCCACGACCTCAGCATGGCAGGTTCTCTCGCAGAGTTCACCACAGCTATACTAAGGTGGTGTGGTGGGCGGTTCCATTGGAAAGTGTGAGTCCTCCCTTTAGGCTCTGCCACCTTCAAGCACAGCATCCCCCTGTGGCAGGTCCAGGCCTTCCTTCTGGGCCAAGTTACATCCAGCAGGAAGGTGGGAAGAGAGGGCTAGGGCAGCTTGCTTAGTCACACAGCCAAACCTTCAACAGAGGCTGGCTTGCTTCATGGTGGCCGCGAACATTACCGAATCTGTTATCAAAGGGCTGGGAGCGGTGTATTCGATTCACATGTCTCTGCCCAGCGATGTGGATCACGTCACGGGTCCAACTGCAGTCCTCACACTTGGCTCCTCAAGCAGGGAGGATTCGAATCCAGCTCTGCACCAACCCGGTCACACAGACTGGCACCAGCAGGGGGACGCCTTGAGAGTGGGGTGAATGTCCCTGGGATGGACAGAAGGCTGTAAACGGCAGGAAGAGGAAGTGGTGGGGAACGCACGTGGCGGCCGGCAGGTCCACAGAGGGGTGACTGTGCTGGGGACGTGTCCGGCTCCCAGCGGGAGGGGCGGGCCATCTGCTTGCGTGCAGCGCCTGGCTTCTGTGAGGCACTCAGTGTGGGCATTTAAAGCCACAGTGGTGGAATGGAGAAGCCAGGCCAGTGCGGGGATGGCACACGCTGTGGCACTGGTAGTCAAGCGCGGGAGATTCTGACGAGCCCTGGTTCCTGTGTTTGGGGTGGAGGGCGCCACGGTGTGGCAAAGAAAGGATCTCAATCCTGGAGGAAACTCAAAGGGGCATGCCCTGTGTTTAGAGCCTGGGTTTGGGGGGGGGGGGACCTGCTAATCCAGACAGATGGGCTCACAAAGCTCTCCTTCACTCCCACCCAGCGGAGGGGAGAGGGAAGCCGGAGAGCCAGGGATGCCAGGTCAGGGCCACCGGTGAAAGCCCACTGCTGTGGGCTCAGGGCACAGCTGAAGCAGAGCCACGCAGAAGCAGGGAAGCCTCTGCCACGGAGGGAGGCTTGGGGTTCTACTGGTCTCTAATCGGACCAAGGGGCCTCGGGGATTCAGATCCCGTGGCCTCTGGCAAGAGTCTTTTTAATTTTTTATTTTTTAAAGATTTATGTATTATGTATACAGTGTTCTGTCTGCACATCAGGAGAGGGCACAAGATCTCGTTATAGTTGTGAGCCACCATGTGGGTGCTGGGAATTGAACTCAGGACCTCTGGAAGCGCAGCTAGTGCTCCAGCCCATTTTTTATCTTTTATTTTATGTGGGTGTTTGCTGGTATATGAGGCTGTGCACCATATGTGTGCCTGATGGCTACAGGGTATTGGGATCACTGGGGGTTACAGGTAGCTGTGAGCAGCCTGATGTGGGGGCTGGGAACTGAACCCCGGGTCCCCTGGAAGAGCAGCCTGTGCTCTTACCATTGAGTCATCTCTCCAGCTCCCCAGAAATCTTAACTCTGTTCTGAGGGAATACAGCATTACCCTTGGCCTCAGAGTGCCCTTCATTTCTCCTCTACCATACTCAATACACTGATTATGACCCAGGCAGAGCCAGCCAACCACGGTGGGCCTCCTGCAGCCCAGCAATAGGAACCTAGCCCTGTATGAGATTCGCTGACATTGGAACCCGAATTACTTTTTTTTTCTTTTTCTGTGGTGATGGGAAACCTAGGTCCTCACACACACTAAGTACTTGTACATACACTCCCACCCCCTTGAACCTTTTAGTTATTTTGAGGCAGAGTTTCACTATGTAGCTCTGGCTGCCCTGAAACTCACTAGACCAGGCTGACCTCAAACTTGGAGGTCTGCCTGCATCTGCCTCCCGGGTGCTAGGATTAAAAGCCCCATGCACTACTGAAGTGTGTGTGTGCCACATGCATTCCTACTGCCCTAAGAAGTCAGAAGAGGGAGCTGGATTCCCCGAAACTGAAATTATGGATGGCTGTGGGCCATGTGGGTGCTGGGAATTGAACTTGGGTCCTCTGCAAGAACAGTGCTCCCTACCACAAAGCCATCTCTCCAGCCCTCTACAGAGTTTTAAAAAGTATAAGTAACACACAGAAAACTAAAGCTGGCACTAGAGAGATGGCTCAGCAGTTAAAGCACTTGCTGTTCTTCCGAAGGATCCAAGTTCAGTTCCCAGCACCCACATGGCAGCTCAGGCTCACCTGTAACTCCAGTCCCAGGGGAACTGATGCCTCCTGCTCTCCCTAGGTGCCAGTCACATACGCGTGGCACACAGACACACACACAGGCAAAGCATTTGTAATTAAAAATAAATGTAATCTATTATTTTTAATCCCCTTGGAAAAAAAAAAACAAAACAAAACCCCTAGGCAGCCATATCTATCCATGCCTGGAGTGTCAGACACCGCAAACTAAGGGGGGGACTGGGCCCAAGACTAGCAAACCCCTAGTGTCATCTGTTGGGAGGCAGAAGGATTGTGAATTGAGGCTATGTTTAGCTATGCCATGAGTTCAAGACCAGTCTGTGCAACTTCACTCTTTTACGAAATAGAAACGAAAAAGAGTGCTGAGGGAATACCTCAACGCCACGCTCTAATGGCGTCCTGATATGATGCATTCTGAGGAAAGCAGTAGTAAAATGTTGTATTTTTGTAATTAAAGCGTTATGTTTCCATAAGAGCACAACAACGTCATATGTACAGTCAAAACACTGCAGTTCACAACATACAACAGTATCCCATCTGAGCAGGGGTGTGTGAGGAAGTGTTTGTGGTTCTGGGCTGTGGTGACGCACATCGAGCAAACTGCATGTGGTGTATGTTTGTGTATGTGTGTGTGTGTGTGTGTGCAGACCTCAGTGAAATTGCCTAAGGCAGCTGAGTGCTGCCATCAGGTCCTGAATACATTTGTCAGGGGGAACCCAGAAACTTTCCAAAGCCCAGTGTGTGAAAAGCTGGGGTCCAGTATACACCAGGACCTGGGTTTGATGTCCAACACCCTAAAGAAAAAGAACCCATTAGTCTCACACAAGATTTCTACCAAGACCTTGCGGCAGACACAGTAATTAGAAAAAGATGCTGGCATGCTTCCTCTGAACCCCACAATGAAGGAGGACTGCCTTCTGTTCCCCAATTGTGTCCAACAAGAGGAGTCAGGCTGGTGTTTTGAGGCAGATTGACAGACCAAAAACTTCTTAGAAAGCTGCTTCTTGCGTGGTTCAGAAAGACAGAAGATTCGAGAAAAGCCACTAAACCAGGGTGATGGCGGCTCTCCTCAGCTTCTGAGTCCCTGATGTCTTCTTCCCAGGTTGGAAACAAAGTGAAAGCAGACAGAATATCCCATCAAGGTGACGCTTAGGGCTGGGGATGTAGTATGTGTAAGGACCTGGGTTTGAGCACCACCATAGAGAAGAGGCAGAGGAGGAAAGGGGGATCCTGGAGAGATGGCCCAGTGGTTAAGAGCATTTGCCGCTCTTGCGAATGACCTGGGTTCAGTTCCCAGCACTCACACAGTGACTCACAATCATCTGTAACACTAGTTGCAGGTGAATCCGACGCCCCCTTCTGGCCTCCTCAGGAACTGCATGCATGTGGTATACATACACATATGCAGACAAAACATACATACAATAAAAACAAATCTTTGAAGAAGAGAATACCAGAATGATGCTTGGATTGCATGTTAGCCCAACAAGAGGTCTTGTCCTTTCGACTCACAAGAATCACACTCCAGAGAGGAAAAAAAAACCAAGCTCCCAAGACCCTCCTACTGCTCACTGGTCATTATCCCTCATGAGCAGATATCAGCGCAAGTGGTCCTAGCTGCCAGAAGCTTCTCTTCCCCCAAGAGATGGGGACTCTGGAGCTGAGCATCCATCCATGGAGAAGCAAAATGCATCAGCTCTACACAGCACTGCAGCCTGCCCCATGGCACACCTGTGCCCTGATGACATCACAGGCAGGGTGCAGGAGCTGGGTGCACCTGGATTATGACATCAGCACAACCTGGACCATCCTTAAAGTCAGGCTCTGGGAAGGGAGACCACGAAACAGCAGCCACAGGGGAAGGTGAGAAGGTGACCATCATCAGCCCCCAGGTAGGACACAAGGGGACAGCTGAGCGAGCCTTGGCCAGGTGCCTGTACCTGAGTGTCTGTGGGCCTTTCCATTCTTGGCACAGGACAGCGAACTCTCTGACTCTCGCTGACATGCAGAAGGTCTCACGTGAGTTCAAGTTTCTGACCTCCCCTCCCAAGTGCCAAGGGAGTGGCCCCTTCCCCGCATCATCCCGTCCTTCTTCCCTTCCACCATCTTACCCGTAACTGGGGCTGAGACCAGGAAATATGAGCCCCCATGGAGGCTGCTTCTGAGAGAAACTTACATAAAGAAGGAGCATGCCCGGGGTGGAGCACGCGTGTCCCTGGCGTGAAGGGCAGCGCCCTGCCCCCAGCCCCTGCTGTACTTGGATTCTCTGTCTTTTCAGGATCAGCCCAGGACCAGGTCCCCTCACAGCGTTCCTCCCAGTCCTGCAGAGCCTCTCAAATCCAGGCCCTGATGAGCAGCAGCAACGGCAGTCAGCACATGTTGGAGGACCAAGTCCTCTGTCCCATTTGCCTAGAGGTGTTCCAAAACCCTGTCACCACTGCCTGTGGTCATAACTTCTGCATGTCTTGCCTCCAGAGCTTCTGGGACCACCAGGCTGCCATCGGAGAGACATACTATTGCCCCCAGTGCAGAGAGATCTTCCCTACCAGGCCCCGCCTCTGCAAGAATGTCATCCTTGGGGAGATGGTGGCTTGCTTCACCCAGGCCAAGGGCCAGACCTCCGGGTCCTTGTGGAACCTGGCTGGCCCCACCGATGTGCCCTGTGACTTCTGCTCCCCGCAGAAGCTGAGGTCAGTCAAGTCATGCCTGCAATGCATGGCTTCCTTGTGCGAGAAGCACCTGCGAAGCCACTTTGAAGACCAGTTGTTCCAGGACCACCAGCTGCTGGAGCCCGTGTGGGACCTCAAGAACCGCTTGTGCCGCAAACACCGCAAGCTTCGGCAGCTGTTCTGCCGCACGGAGGGCAGCTGCGTGTGCGGAGCCTGCCTGCTCGAGGAACACAAGAACCATGACTCTACTCCCCTGGAGGATGAACGAGCCCACAAAGAGGTGAGGAGGGTGAGGAAGGGATGCTCCACGTTCTCCAAGTCTGCCCCCTTTCCCTGAAGGAAAGTAACACAGCTCGGGCCAGGATTCGAAGGCAGGGGCTCGAGAGAGCCCGGGCGATGTAAGCAACAAGAGAACGGTCTCAAAAGAGTTAGGAAGGGCCTGCGTGATGGCTGGGAGGGTAGAGGCACTTTCTAGCCGAATAACCCAAGTTCCATCCTCAGAACCTACATTTAAGTGGAGGGAGAACTGGTCTTGACGATGCAAGCCTTTAATCCCACCATATGGGAAGTAGAGGCGGGTGGATCTCTGTAAACTCAAGACCAGCCTGGTCTACAGTGAGTTCCAGAACAGCCAGAGAGCTACATAGTGAGACCCTGTCTCAAAAGGGGGAAAAAAAAAAAAGTGGTCTGGTGGTGGCGGCATACACCTTTAATCCGAGCACTCCGGGCAGTTCCAGGACAGCCAGGGCTCCACAGAAAGGCCTTGGCATGCACACATGGCCCCACAAAAATAATGTTTCTAAGTTAGGCAGTTGCTGACATGATGGGTCATGTCACAGCACAGGAAGGCATCGGTAAGTGAGGTTAATAAAGAAGGTACAGAATTTGATTCCATATCTGCAGTGAACTGCGGGTGGTGATGGTGCTTACAGCAGTCTCCCCTCGAGGTATCTAGGGAACACGTGACTTCTCTCAAGAAGCCATAGAAGGGGGAGCTGGAGAGATGGCTCAGCAGCTACGAGCCCTGGCTGCTCTTCCAGAGGACCTAGGTTTAATGCCCAGCACCTACATGGTGGCTCACAACTCTAGTTCTAGGGGATCCAATGCCTTCTTCTGCCTGCACAGCCACCAGGCACGCACAAGTTACACAGAGGCAAAAACCCACACACACATAAAAAATAATGATGATTAAACAAAACCTGGGTGTATCTTGAGTGCCAACACTTAAATGACTCAGGCCAGAGGACCCTAAATTCAAGGTCAACCTGAACTACATAAAATAAACTCTGCCCCCACCCGAATAAAATCTAGGATGGAGAGATGGCTCAGTAAATAAAGTGCGTGTTTTTATAGGCATGAGAACCAGAGTTCAACCAATCCCCATGTAAAAAAAGCCAAACATAGTGGTGCACACCAGGGAAGCAGAGACAGGCATCACTGGGGCTGGTTGGCTAGTCTAACTATCAATGAGCTGTCGCATCTACCTTGACCAGCAAGGAAAATGCAACGCTCAGACTCTTCTTTAAGCAGTTTATTCAGGAACCTTGTATAATCTTCTCACCCTGGGGCAGCCCAGCCCACAGCTTAAAAGCCCTTGAGCAGTCAACCCCAGAATGCCATGCTGTGAAAAACAAAGACAGGTCCACATACATGGAAGCAAGCCAGATTCTCCGCTTTAGCCAAATATGGAATTGTTTAATACAGAGAGCACTCACCATCGGGAAGATGGAAGGTGGAAGCCAGCGCCATCTTTAAGGCTCTCTACAATGAGCCTTAGCTTCAGTGAAAGACCCTGCTACAGAAAAGGAGGGAGGAGGAGCTGGAGAGAGAGATGGCCAAGGAGTTGAGAACACTGGTCTTGCCGAGGACCTGGGTTCAGTTCCCAGCACCACAACTTCTGTAATTCCAGTTCCAGGAGATCTGATAGCAGGCATGCATGCGGTACACCTACATGCATGCAGGCAAAACACCCGTGTGTGTGTGTGTGTGTGTGTGTGTGTGTGTGTGTGTGTTTGTATGTGTTGATTTGTGTGTGTATGAGTGTGCGTGTGTGTGTCTGTGTGTGGTTTCTGTCCTACCTGGTCCTGCAGCTGTTTAGTCCAAAATAAACACACAGAGGCTTATATTAATTATAAACTTGTTTATAATTTGGCTCAGGCTTCTTATTGGCTAGCTCTCTCTTAATTATTAGCCCATTTTTGTTCATCTGTGCATCCCATCCCCACGTGGTCTTGGTTTACCCAGTGATGCCAGGACCTCTTGCTTTCTCAAGCTACATGGTGTCTCCTTCCTCCACCTATTACCTTTCTCTATCCCTGTTTGGATTTGCCACCTGGCTAAATCCTGTCTGTTCATTGGCTGAAAAAGCTTTATTCATCAACCAATAAGAGAAACATATAATCATGGTATACAGAAGGACATCCCCCATCATAGGGCTTCCACATACGCATGTACTCACATATGTACCTGTATGTATGTATGTACACACACATATGTATGTACATACACATATGTATGTATGTATACACACACACACACACAGTGCAGCTTAAGTTAATTTCCTCTTTCTTCTGCTCCTTCCAGCCCCTTCCCATGCAGGGTCTCCAGTAGCCCAGCCTGGTCTTGAGCTCCCTATGAGGTTGAGGATGACTTTGAACTTCTGATATTCCCACCTACACTTCTGTTCTGCTTTCAAATTTTAATTTATTTGCATTATTTTTAGAAGTGAGCTCCTTGGATCTTAGCTAACCCACGAGGTATACTCAACCAACCATCATCAATCTGGTAAATAGGGAAAAAAAATGGTATTGCTAAACACATCATTTAGTTCAACTGACCCCTGCTTCACTGTGAGCCTCTCAAAAGAAGGAAGCCGCGCCTGGACTCACAGGCTGGCCAGCACCATTTCCCATACAGGAACTCGCCAAAGCTCTATTCCCCCTGTACTGTGATAACACAAGTACCTGTGGGCTTATGTAGAGCTGGAGCTAGCAGCACCGCCCGGGGTACCCAGATGGCTACATACAAGCTCCACCCTGTGTGGTCTCACCACCACCCACTTAGCTCAAGCCATGGAACCCTTCCCAGCTCCTTCCTGTGTCCTGAAGCCCTGTGGTCCTCACCATTAGCAAAGAAACAGATTCCTTTGTGTGAGGAACCAGACTCCAGCACAGTGAAAGAACAAAACCCAGAAGCATAAATAAGACATCCGCCCTTCGGCCCTGGTTTTATGCTCACTGAAGCCTATGATCACCAGGGGCTCATCTCTTCCTGAATTGGCAGTCAGGCTTCTCCAAAGCCCTCTCTCTGAATCGGGGCCCTTCCTCTGCCCCTCACTCGCTTCTGCCTCTCCTCACCACACGTTCCAGGTGGAGGTTCGGAAGATTCAGGCCAACGTGGAGAACCAGATGTTAATCATTGCCTCGGAAAGCCAGAAACACCAGGGACGAGTAAGCTTTCTCTCGGTAAGGTGGGTTGCCCCCATCCCAGGCTGTCCCAGTATCTTCAATCAGGCTCCTGGGACCTCCCAGAAACTAACTACAGGGGGTTGTGGGAAGGGGAACCAGTGGACGAAGATGGGATGCATGGCTCGGCTTTGGACCAGGATAGTTGGGTATAGGAGTGGGGTTCAGGGATGCCTCCCTACACACCCACCCCAGAAAATGACTCAGACAATGCGAGATGAGGTGAACAACTGCTTCTCAGAGATCCTTCATGAGATTAAACAGCTACAGATAAAGGTCTTGGATTTTGTGGAGAAAGAGGAGGCGGCTGCCCTCGGAAAGCTGGGCAACTCTATCCAGCAGAGCCACAACCGGCTCCTGAAGTTGGAGGGGGACAGCGTCTGGCTCCAGAGCCTGCTCAACAACAGGAATGATGAGCAGTTCCTACAGGCAAGACCCCCTCTCTAGACCAGGCCCCGTCCCTCCACCACACACACATACACACAGACACACACACAGACACACACAGACACACACAGAGACACACGCACACACAGACACATGCACACAGAGACACACACAGACACAGACACACACACACACTCAGAGACACAGACACACACACAACCACACTCAGAGACACACACAGACACACACACACACAGAGACACACTCACACACACAGACACACACATAGACACACAGACACACGCACACACAGACACACACATACACAAACTCACACAGACACACTCACACACACACACACAGACACACAGACACACACACACAAACTCACACAGACACACACACACAGGCACACGCACACACACAGACACACACACACACAGAAACACATACACACACACACAGACTCACACAGACACAGAGACACATACACACAGACACACATACACACACACACACACAGACTCACACAGACACACAGACACACACCCTGACAAAGCGACCACGGTGTGGCTCTGCATCCCCTTGCCCACTCTCTGGCTGGGAGAGCCCCAGGTCGGCACCCACTGCTTTTTCCTGCTTCTGGGTCCCAGGAGAACATGCAGAGTGCCCTGGGATTCAGAGCGTGTAAGATAACCTCCCCCCAAACCACAGCCAGAAAAGAGGTCAAGCCAGTCTATGCATTGGAATCCATTTTCCTCCCTAGCTGTGGTCTGCTCCTCCTGCAAGGTGGTGGGAGGTGAAGGTAGTGATGGGGACTCTAGTGAAATCTGCAGCGATTTTCTCTTTGCACAGGGACAAACCCTTATGTCTTGGGTCTCCTCCCTTAAATTGTCCTCATAGCCCTGGACTGGTTTCAAAGATCACGCCCTCCTTGTCCCTCCCTGGACAGCAGGATGGACTTGGCAGTGATCTTTACGAGCAACTAAAGGCTCCCCTGAAATCCTCCAGTTGTTTTCTCTGGCAGCCAGACCATCAGTGAAGCCCTATCCAAACAACTAGGAGGAGACAGATGTTCACGTTTGCCAAGGGGCAACATCTCCTCCACCTGCCCATGGAGGTGCCCCTGGGCCAATAGCATACTAGCTGCCCTCTCTGCCTAGCAGGAGTTCCCCAGACTGAAGCATTTCCCTGCATGTGTGGAACCCTTGATGGGCACCAACTGTGAGGAGCATGGGTTCCTCCAGCTGCCAGACACCCTGGCCCAGCTCCGCACCAGGCTGATGGACATCGGTCTCAGCTTCGTCAACCAGCTGCTCTTGAAGGGTCAGTCTAGTGTCTGAGAGGTCTGGAGTCTTGTCACTTGGGAGCAGCGCCTCCCCACGTGGCAGTGATTGTGGAGCCCTGCCTGCCTGTGTGCACCCTTCCCAGGTCACAGGGGCTCTGGGATTGGCTATGCCTCTCTGTGGAAGGATGCTGGGCTGTAAGAGTGTCTCCAGCAAAGCTGCTCCATCCATCCGTCTCCCCCCCCCCCCTCCAGGCATCAAGATGAACTCCTATGAGGTGCTGCCCTCAGCTGTGGACAGGAAAACGCTACTCCAGAGTGAGTTCTCAGACCAGAGGCCAACCTGGGGGAGGGGAAGGAAAGGGGGCTGTGACTTCCCAGCTTCTGAGGCACTTCCTATTCTTTTCCCTGACCTCTCACTGCAGACTGAGGTCCCCCACAGAGAGAGAGGGAGACCCTGTCCCTTCCTGCCTCAAAAGGCTGCTCTTCTGTGGTTTTCTGAGCCTTGTGTGTCATGACTGCTGCCCTCATCTTGGTGGGTGCCAGCTCGCCTGGGGAATTAGCCAAGTCAACCGGAATAGGCATTATCTCTGCCTCCAACTCCAAATATCCATTTATTTGCTGTCCCTATCAGCCCTCTTCCTGGCCTTGGCCCTAGGACCAAATCCCAAGGCTTTTGAGATAGTGAGGATCAGATATGGAACATTTTGATCTGCGGGTCACCTCAGCCAGAAGCCCTTTACCTTCAGCAGCCTCATCCCTGAACAAATAAGAAAAGTGATTGTTAGGATCTGGGGTTGGGGGACAGATCCCTGTTCCCAACCCCTCCAGAAAGTACACCGTTGCACACTTCCTCCAGGCTGCCTGGTGCAGCCCCACCAGTATTGAGCTTTTTTTTGAGGGGGGTGGGGGGAGGTCAAGACAGGGTTTCTCTGTGTAGCCCTGGCTGTCCTGGAACTCTCTCTGTAAGTCACCCTGGCCTCCAACTCAGAGATTCACCTGCCTCTGCCTCCTGAGATCTGGAGTGTGCCATCACTGTCCAGTTAAATTGGGCTATTTTAAGTAGTGTGGCTGCTCATGCTAGCATTTGGGAGGCTAAGGCGAGACAGCTGCCTCAAGTTGGTCAGCCTGGGCTCAAAAGCACAAAAATAAAATAAACCACTAGGCAGAGAGGGTGCTACTTCTAGTATGGAGTAGAAGCGGTCTGAGTTCGTTTGGGAATACCTGCTCCTTGCTAGCGCCCTGCCCTGGGAACAATGACCCCCGCATGCCTTGTGTCTTCATCCCCCACCCCAGATTACTGCAACCTGAACTTCGACCCCGCCACGGCCAGCGAAGAGTTGTTCTTGTTCAGGGAAACGCACTCGGTGTTGAACCTGGGCATCCTTCTGGAACCCTCGACCACCAACAGCTCTTTACCAGGCTTCAGGCAGTGGCCCCAGGTCCTGTGCTGCCCAGGCCTGACGGAGGGCTGTCACTACTGGGAAGCCGAGGTGTCCAACTCGTGGATGTGCCTGGGTGTCACATACCGCCACAACCCTCCGCTGGGCGGTCGCCCCCGGCGCAACATCATCTACCTGCTGGGCCGCAACCCCTACTCGTGGTGTCTGGAGTGGGACTCGCTCAAGTTCTCTGTGTGGCACAACAACACGCAGACAGTGCTGCATGGATGCTACCACCACACGCTCGGAGTGTCGCTGGATTTCGGTGCCGGCTGCCTGTCCTTCTATGGCGTGACGGGAGGCGTGAGCCTCCTCTACCGCTTCCTCACCTCCTTCCTGGAGCCCCTGTACCCCGCAGTCATGGTCAGTAGCGGAGCCTCCCTCACACTCAAGCAGTACCCGGAGGCATAGGCAGCTGCCAATAAAGACAGACTCTATGCACTGGCGTGGTCCCCTGGGGTGGCCCGCCCGCTTCCCAGACCTATGTCTGCCAGCAACACCCAGAGGGACCTGAACCAGACTGAAGGTCCTTAGGAACAGGGATGACAGCCCATGCATGCCCTTCAAAAACCAAACTCCTGCTCTGCTCACCGCCCTTTTCCCAAGCATTGGCAACCCTTGGTTTCCACGTCATTTCCCACTACCTTCAAAGCCTGTGAAGCCTCAGACTGGGTGAGGCTGGAGCCAAGCAGGTGTCCATACTATGAAGTGCGGGTGGCATTGGAGAGTTGGCCAGAGTTCTAGCTTATCTGCGGACTGGAAGGTTAGGGCTGGGGAGCCCAGCCCTGACTTAGATCCAAGACCAGAGGGCTGAGGTTGGAGGTCCAGGTTCGAGCCTACCGGCAGGGCAACTGACCTCACTAGAACAAAGTGTCTGCAGTCAGTGGTGTCTGCAGCATGGAAGGCTGTGGATAATGCTGTGGATAGCGCCCACCATCATCTTTATGATTAGTGAGAGCAGTTCCCTGCCCCTCCCCCTGAGGGGGGTCAGTGGACACCCAGGCTTTTCTCATCTAACTTGCCCAGGCCTGGAAGTCTGTAGTGGCTTCACCCAAGGCCAGTCCAGGCCCCTGCTAAGGGACCCTGCCCACCCCCTACACCCCAAGCCGAGGGTTCCTGTCCATTGCAAAAGCAACCTGAGTTTCCAGACTCAGCCAGCCACAGTTCCTGTGGGTCTAAAGCAAGCTCTCAGCCAAGTTAATGATCCACGAACTGATAAAGGTCACAAGAGAGAAAGCCCCTAGGGCAAGGCAGCTGGCAGCCAGACTAGGCGGAACCCACCACGAGGACACTTGGGAATTCAAGCCCTGCCCTGCCTGTTCAGGCAGAAATCAGTAACACTCTTTTCTCCTTGAGGAGCTGCTTTTGGGGTAAGGAGAGCAATGTTGAGCTTTGAAGGTGTCCTGAGGTGCTATCCTGTGGCTGGCTATGCCTGAGAGGTGACCTTTCCACCTGGACTCTTCCACAGCTCCTGACTAATTTCCTATGGGCTGCTGTCCCTGTAGGGGATAAGGCTATGGAACTCTCCCACCATGTTGAGCAGAGGCTTTCCTTACTCCCAAGGCCTAGATCATGCCTCCCCACCCAACTCTCACTCTTCCAGCATCAGGGAAGGAGTCAGCAGGGCATGTGGTGGATCACACGTGTAATTTTAGCATTCGGGACGCTGAAGCAGGAGGGTTGCTGCTTCCTCTAAGGAGCTGACCAACCTGCTGTGCCAACCCCTCCACCCCCAACCCCTCCACCCCCACTCCCCGGACCCCCGGGACACAGGCACAGGATGGTGTGTGGGAAGCCCTGGTATCCTGGGACTTCCGCGTGGTGGGTACCCAGGTACCCAGCTGGGGATGCCACTCCATGGTAAGGGCTTTCCTAGCACACTCAAAGCCCCAAGTTCAACCTTCAGCACAGGAAAAAAAAAAAAAAAAAATCACTGTGCATGAATTATACTACAACCATTAGGTAAGCAGGAGTACATTAATGTCAATTTAAGTATGTATCACAGAAGGGGACTTACAGTGTGACAAGGTCAGCAAGTGCCCTAGAATTGCTGCCCCCTCCTTCTTCCCTGCTCCCAGCCAGGTGAAGAAGCCAGGGCAGGAACTCCCTCTGGAGTACCACCTACACATTTAAATTCTCCAGTCCCTGCTCTAGGACTTGGTAAATCTCTTTGATGGAGATGGAGATAGAAAAGTCAGAGCTTAGCTTTGTCCACGCTGCACACAGACCCCGCCCCTGAACTATCTCTAACGGGAACCGTTGGTTTGGTTTGAGGTTTTTATGTGTTTTGCCTCATCTTGTTTTGAAACAGGCTCTCATGTAATAAAGCTGGCTTCAAAGTTAGTGTAGCTGAGACTGGCCTTGAACACCTGATCCTCCTGCCTCTCCCCTCCCCTAGTGCTAAGAGTGTAGGGTGAACAACAGGTAGTCATCTTTAGTTGTAAAAAAAACTTTAGTGTTTTTAAATTCCTGCTTGGTGTGTGTGTGTGTGTGTGTGTGTGTGTGTGTGTGTGTCTGTGTGTGCATGTGCCATAGTACATGTTTGGAGGTCAGAGCATGGTTTGCCAGAGTCGGTTCTACCCTTCTGTCTTGTGGGTCCCAGGGATCAAACCCTTGGCAGGAAGTACATCTACCTGCTGAGCCAACTCATCAGCCATGGAACTCTGCTTTTAACTAGCACTTGGATTGGTTCGATAAAAAGCTGAACTGCTAATTAGCTAGGCAGGGTATTCAGGGCAGAGCGGTGCTGGGAAGAGGAAAGTGGAGAGGCCAGGGCTCAGAGAAAGCAGCAAGGGCAATGGGCATTACAAAGTAAAGGCAGCTGAGCCACATCAAAGGACATAGATTTTAAAATATGGGTTAAGTTATAAGAGCTAGTTAGAAGCAAGCCCAGGCTATCAGCCAAGCTTTCATAATAAGTTTCCATGGTGTGATTTGGGAGCTAGCCAGCAGACTCAACAAATGACATCCAACCTAGGGGCACATATTTAGACATAAGACCTGAGAAAGCTTTTAAAAAGGTTCCAGACACACAAAAATGGAGCCAAACACAGCTTCCAGTTCTGCAGTCTTTCATGCGGGCTATGGTAGACAGATGCATCTCCCAGCCACTGTCTGCAGGCTTAAGCTGCCAGCACACTGAGCTAAGCTGCGGGCAGCTTAAGCTTTGCTCATGCACACAGAAAAAGTTACAGATGCACAATAAAGACAGGCCCAAGCAGGAAAAAATCTCTAAACAGGTTACAGTGTGTTTTTGTATATAAAAAAAAATGGGTATAGGCTTTAAAAAGACAAGAAACTTGGTATAGACAGTCATTAAAAAAAAAAAATAGTTTATAGCTGGGCAGTGGTGGCAACTGCTTTTAATCCCAGCACTCAGGAAGCAGAGGCAGGTGAATCTCCATGAGTTTGAAGCCAGCCCGGTCTACAGAGTGAGTTCCAGGACAGGCTCCAAAGCTACACAGAGAAACCCTGTCTTGAAAAAAAGAAAAAAGAAAAAAGAAAGTGAATTAGTTACAAAACTTTAGACTCATCAAGAGAGGATAGATAATGGAATATTTTCTCTAAATTTGTCAAATACTATATGGATTTGTTGTAAATGTATTTCTTTCTTACTTGATAATTGTTCTTATCGTATATAGTTTTACTATATTAGAGTTAAACGATTTTATTTAGACAAAAAGGGGAAAATACTGTTGAATAATCTTTTTGTACACTATGAAGATGTGTCACTCAGATTGGTTTAATAAAACACTAAACTATCAATAGCTAAGCAGAATTTTCAGGGCAGAGAGGGCATTGGGAAGAAGGGGGAGATGCCAGGATACAGAGCAAACAGCACAGGCATTACAACGTAAAGGTAACTGAGTCACATAAAAGAACATAGGTTATAAAAGATATGGGTTGTTATAAGAGCTAGTTAAAAACAAGTCCAGCTATCAGCCAAGCTTTCATAATTAATAAGCCTCCGTATCATGATTTGGGAGCTGGCTGGGAAAGAGACAGACAGCAACACCTGATACCTAGCAGATCATAAATAGTTGTTAAAGGACTGCAGGAACGCTCCTTAGTGTGAGTGCAGAGACCACTGGAATCCTCAGTCACGTGAGGGGGTGTGGCCACCAGGGAGCTGTCTTACTTCCTTCCCTGTCTCTCTTCCTCCTCCCCTTGGTAACAGACCTTAGTAGACCCTAGCACAACTGTCTCCATGATGGAAGTACAATTCAGGCCATAAAACAACACATAGCAGTACCACCTGCCAAATGAAAACGTTTTCCGTCCAAAACGAAAACCTGATCCATCAAAGTCCATAGATCTGGGAAAGTCTCTATATGTGCCAACCTTGCTTTTTGGTTTCTGAAGTTCCGCTCCTGGCTGTTGTTAAGTGAAGTGTGTCAACCCAGGATACAGTTTTTGTGTTTAAAAGCTCACTCTGAGAAAGGCTCAGTGCTACACTGGGAACCTGAACTCCCAATGTAGTCGCTGGCTAGTAAAGACTTTCCATTGGCTTAAACCCAGGTCCTAGCAACCTTCTCTGGTAGATACCCCACAACACCCTGAGGCTGACTGTGTCTTCTGCACCTCGGCAGGGGTCAGGACCCATCTGTCTGCCTCTGCCTCCCTTTCCACCTTCCCTGAAGACGCTTTGGGCTGTGACCCATCGGCAGGTGCTGTGCTCAGTACTTTTCTCTGTCATTCTCTGCACCTGTGAAAGAGCTTGTGCTGGGAAGGCATACCTGTCTGTTGAGGACTATAGACTCCTGGGGTTTCTCAGGTGCTTAGAGGAGGGTGGGCATGGGCTGCAGAGATGGCTCAGACATTCAAGGCTAGGCTCACAACCAAAAATGTAAGAGGAGGGTGAGCACAACACAAGAGGGGTGTGAACTCGATGCACACCACTTTATCATAAGATTCCCGACATTAGTGCAAACCCCACAGTGGTCAGACCATCACAACGGTGAAGAGCAGATCCACGACGACGGTGGGTTCCTTGCCCCATCTTACTCTAATCTCAGACCCGAGGCCAATAAAGATTTTATTCACAAAACCAGGTAATTACTCCATGGGCCATAATAGTCATAATTTCTAAAAATATTACATTAAACTTTCACCTGGATGGTAGAGCTTTTTGCCTTCTCTTAAGGTTTTCTGTTTTGGTTTTGGTTTTTTGTTTTGTTTTCTTTTTTTGGGGGGGGTCTCACTGTGTAGCTCTGGCTAGCCTGAAATTGGCTATGAAGACCAGGCTAGACTTGAACTCAGAGTTCTCCCAACTTGGGCCTCCCAAACACAGGGATTCAAGGTGTGTGCCACCACACTCAGCCGACTTCTCTATTTGCCCCAGGCAGGTGGTTTACTCCCTTCACCCTGTTTGGAGGTGACACAGGACAGGGGTGCTGCACAGGGACATGGCA